CTAAGCGATGCATTAATACGCAAGCTTTCAGCTGCCTTGTTACGTGGACTCTTGTAACTAGAAAACAGAGAGAACATTTCTCTTAGATTTATTTCAACTCATCATGATATCCAAATTCATCATCAAAATCAAAATCTGAATCACTATCATCAAAATCATAATCAGAATCTGGATCATTATCACCATCATAATCTGGATCACCTCCTTCACCTATATAATAACCATAATTATCAAATCTACCATGTCCTATGCGCTTTTGCGTATGTGCAAAGCCAAGACTTTGATCAACACTGTTGTCTCCACCACTGAGGTTTAGGTATCTAATCAGTTCATTCAAAATATTCTTGTAATCTTCCTCAGTGCTAGGATCGTGCTCTGTTGGATGAAGAGGGCCAACTCGGTTGTCGACGTTTTTTCCTTCTTTCTCGCGTGTGTGGGGACTCATTTTTTCGAACGGAATTTCATTATACTCTTCTTTGCTAGCTGGACCCTCCGCAATGCTTTTTGTTGTATAGCGATCCTCATCATCGTCTGAAATTGAATTCTGCTCATCGGTATCCCCTTCATTACCAAAGAAATAGTCGAAAATCCTCCAAATGCTTTTTGATTGAACAGCACCAGTAAGGAAGATTACCTTAAACGAAGTTCTCACACTTTACAAAGTGGAAATATCGCTTAAAAATGATTCATTAGTAAAACATTTAGATTATTTTTGAGGTTTGAAACACATATAAGCGCTGCATTTCGCCTAGTCAGCAAATTGTAATGTACATGGAATGTGACAATAATTATCAAGGGAACTCACCGTTAGCAAAGATGGCTTCATTTTTAGTTGACAGAAGTTGCAGCTGTTTCAAGTTCTCTCAATCGAATGGTCCCACTCAATAATTGCAAAGTCACCTTTACTTTGATTGCAACATGTGAAGTGCATTCCATGTAATGAGGCAATCAAAATCAGGCGCAATTGTTGAAAAATTGTGCATTCACAATTAATACCTACGTGCACAACACAGACATTTCCACCAATATATCACAATTTGCTTTGACAGATAAAAACACTTTTCACGAAACAACAAGCGGCTACCATGATTCGCTAAAACCTGCATAATCTACAATATCGAAATGGGCTTATTCCGTTTCAAAGAAGAACTACTGGGTCGAATTAGATCGTCGCTTAGTTGGCCAACATCTTTACGATTAGACAGTTCCACCTTTTTGGCTTTCTTTATTGACAAGACCAAAAAATTAGCCGGAAAGTTTCTATGAGTCCGTTCTATCATTTACAAGTGAGATTTTTGATTACCGCTGCTAACTGTGACGGCTTCAAGTGCCTGCGGTTAACATTTAATTCTTAGCAAAACTCGGCGTAATCACTTTTAACAGTAAGATGACAGCACGAGAAGAAAGCCGGTAGATTCAAGTCCCTCCCTAAGCCATCAGTTCACGGAATAGAATTGCAAGTATATAACTAAAAAAACGATTTTTGAGAGCTGATGATCGCTGGACGCGTGTAAGTTG